TGACCACTTAGCTCATGTCAGTATTAATTTTTGGTTTTTAATTAAGTGTTTTTTTTTTTTTTTTTTTTTTTTTTTTTTTTTTTGTAAAGCTCATATTTTTCTAATATTATTATTTTTTTATAATTTAAAATGCTGATCTCATTTTAGCTTTCCACCATTATATTATAGTTATATGATTATCCATGAGTTATTTTTAGTTTTTTTTTTTTTTTTGTTCATTCTTTGCTCATTTTTGTTTCCACCATATTTTCACATACTTAGTAAACATCAGTTTTCATTTAGTTTTACATTTTATTATTATTATTATTTTTGTTTTTAGTTGTAACTCTGAAATGCCGGCAGCTAACACGAATACATTCAAAATTAATTAATTGTATGTTATAACAAATTATTATTAATTATATGTATGTTTTATATTTAAACATTTATTTGTGTATGTAGTTTTTATGTATTTTATTTCATTATTAATTATACTTTTTTATTTATTTAAAACCAACCAGTATGAGCATTATAAATTTTTGTCTAAGGTCATTAGTAATATGCAATAAATTTGTGTTACAATTTAGTTAAAATAATAATGAGGTATTCTGTTTTGGTAAATAATAAATGTTATACAATTTATTTATTTGAATGTGTGATTTAAATTAATTAAATTAATTGTAAACTATAAATTACAATTTTTTTGTTTGGTATGGTAAAAATTTAGGTTGCCGCCACTTTTAATTAACCACTTTTAATTAAAAGTTTTAAAACTTATTTAAAAATTAGCAAACAGGTCCTGGTAGGCTAGTTGTTATAGTAATATTCCGTCAGTTTAAGGGTAGTGGGTTCAATGCCTGCAAAAGCCCTTGATCTTTAGATAAAATTTTCTTCTAATCACTTTTCCATTATCAATCTGTTTGATTTTCTATTTAATATACTTTAATACCCCAACTGCCACATAATGCTAATGTTCTGCTAAACTCTTATAAATTTTCAATTTTATATACATTTTGCCTTAAAATTTATTTATATATTAAAATTGCAACATTAAAATTTAAATGCAAGTTTAATTAGTTAAGAAAATCTCCTCTTATAAAACCATAATAAATAAATTGTCAATGAAATGTTTTAAAACTCAATTAAGATGTCGTTTAAATTAAAATTCTTTCTTGTTAAGACAATTTAAAGCCATCGTATATGTTTCATTAAAATAAATACATATATACATACATACATACAATTAGTATTATATCGTTTTGGCCTAAATTGTTTAGATAATAGAGCAAATAAGTAGGACATATATAAATTGTAAAGATTTTTTTCAAATTGTTATTGCTGCTATATAATTAACAAAACAAAAATAGTTTATGAATTGAAATGAAAGATTTAAAAATATTTTTCTTTAATTGTTGTTATAATCATTTGTCTTTAATTAATTAAAAATTTGCAATTTATAATTTTGTTCGTGAATATTCCTAGAATCTGTTGACATATTATTTAGTATTTACTAAATGTATAGCCTATTTTTAGGCATTTATGAAAAAGTTATTGAAAATGGTAACTGCTGTATAACCTTAGCCTGTAACTTTGGATGTCATTTTATTATTATTTATTTTAAATTTTTAATTATTCATTAAAGACATATTTTCCGAGAAATTGAAATTAAAGTTAAGTGTGTGATAAAATGTTATTGGCATGTATTGTATTATAAAATTATATTTTTGAACTATTTTATTTGAGTGCGACTTAAAAATCATATTAATATTTATGAAATTTTTCATTACCAAACTTCGTCGAAATTAGTTCCAAATATCACGGGAGCTATGCAATTTCATAAAATTGTTTATTCACGAACACTGTACCTATAGAAACTAAGTTCCTGGGCATCGAACAATAATAGCTTCATATGACACTATATAAGCGTTTTCCCACCATTTGTTTATGTAAATGAGCGCATAACAGGTGCGATAGAGGTCTAAGCGTATTTCTTGGGATCTGATGCATCCGAGTATACATCCTACATTCAACCTAACCTACAACATTTGTAAATATTTAATTTTATTCAAACTGTTTCCTTTCCAGGGATTCCAACCATTTTTTTGGCTGGGAAATAAAAAAAAATAGATTTTCTAGGGAAGTTACGACTGCATTAGATGTCGGAAAATCTTAAAATTTGTTTTTTTTTTCCTTTTAAATAAACTTTGACTTTTAAATCAAAATATTAACAAACTTTCTATCAAAGTACTTATAACTCCATAATAATTTTAAAAGTTAATTTTCTTCTAAAAACAATACATTTTATTTGATTTAAATCGTTTAAATATTATAGAACTTATTTAATTTTGTTGAAAACTGCATTCTTTAATTGTTAATTAAATTTTGGTTTAGGCTCCTAAAACCATGCCATGGTAAAGCATGCATATGAAAAATGTACATATATGCTTGTAAAAAAAGCTTTATAACTTCTATAATTTTCAACCGATTTTAATAAATGATGTATCGTTTAACTCGTTAGAAAATATTCTTTAAACATGTATAAACTGATATATACGTCCTCTTAGAAAAAAGTTAAATTATTCTTATTCTTATGTTAAATCATTTAACAGGACAAACAGGAAACAGTTTTGCAGTACATTTTGGTAATAAAATAAATAGATGCTTTTAATAAAACAAGTGATCTAACAAAGACAAACTTTGTTCGATTTCCGTAATATGTAGATGTTTGGCTTTGTTGAAGCACATGTTAGAATTTTCGTTATTCTCAGGGAAACCAAAAAAATGCAAATGCATGTTTGTTATAATGATTCGTATGTACTCATTAACGAGATATTAAGGTGTCCCACAAAAAACTTTACATACACGGTAAGCAGGCAAGTAATATTGGAGCTTACTTTTGGGGTGAATAACTAATTATTTTTTGTTCGAGGTTCAAAAAATAACTGGTTACAAATGTGTTTACCCGACTTAAACCTGTGCTTAAACCAGGCTCTACAGTTATTTTTTGTGTTTATTAGTCTTTCCGCTCACTCAGTGCTCTATTAACAAGTTATAAAGTATAAATCGACCTTTTTTTTAAATACTGATATCAACTATAATTCGACTCACAAACCTTGGATAGATGCTTAAGATAATTGGACTAATGCTCTAGATAATTGGTTACAAATCCCTTTCAAATAATTAAATAATATTATTGATAACGAATACTCATTACCAGGTAATGTATTAAATAACTACATTATCTCGTTTACTCATTACCAAAATTGGAAGATTTTTTGTATGATTTGAATAGATTACACAGGCAAACAATTGTTGACGACAAGAGTAAAGCATTTAGGATTTAGATCCGAATCTGATTTCATAATTTATCCATTGCACCAGATTTTCCAGATATCGTGTCATAAAATTTAGAAGAAAAAACATTTTAAAGGCTTTTAAACAGCGCGAAGATACCTGTATTTATAAAATTTATAATGTCATCAAACTTCATGACACGATATCTGGAAAACCTGAGGCCATATTCGGATTCAGTGCTGCTTTTAATCCTTTAAAAAAGAACACTTTGGACTCTGGGTTTCGACATTTTTTAAATTTCATTGGCTTTTGTTATTTAAGCTTATTTTCAATTGTTTTTTTATATTTTTAAAATTTTTCAAAATTTTATGTTTTTTTTTCAAAATTTTATTTTTCAAAATTTATAGCCTTTTTAGGATCCAAATGAAGCAATTACTTATTGCTTATTTAAATAAAATTTTGATCTTTAAGCCAAGAGGCATATTTTTGTTTCAGAACACAATTTTCAGCTTTCAATGTTAAAAATCATCATAATTTTTATATTTTAAGATTTTTTTTAATTAAATATAAAAATTGAGATTGGTTTAATTTTTAACAATGATTGTCACTTATTTTTAACTTTTTTTCAATCAAGGAACTTATATTTTTAATGTTTAATTTAATTTTATTTTGCAAACAAGAATTTTTGGCGCCTAAAAATATGCTGTATATTTGAGAAAGCAGTAACTAAACTAAATATGCTACGAAATAGAATGGAATTATTTTGTATAATTTCCAGGCGATTTTAAAGAATTATATCACTTTCCAAAATCTATGGATTTTGCACAAAACCGTTATAATTTGCACAAAAACGAAATAAGGGAAAATAAATTTACTTTGGGAACAAATTTAATTTCAAATTACTAAGTTTTAGTAAAAACACAAATATTTGCAAAGATTAAAAAAACTTAAAATCAGAATGATTCCGTAAGATTAAAAATCTCTTTATTTCACACAAATTTTAACAGATCCATTAAACGAACTTTTTAAAAACAACACTTTTCAATAGCAAACTTTGAAACAAAATCCTTTTTTTTCGTTTATTCTGGAAATAGTGTAAACCTTTATTGCAGTAATCTACAAAATTTACATACATTTTGTTTATGAAACGGCGCGCAAATTTAACAACTTTCAATCTAAAATTCTCTTTCCACAATTTTATTTATTCCGTACAAATCTGTTAAAACTGTAAAAAGTCTGTCTGTCTACTATATTCGTAGCATAAAATTACAATATTTTTGTGTGTGTGTGTGTAACTTTACGAAAAGCTAAATATATGTACAAGGACGAAGAGGGAGTTTAGAGCCCGTTTGCTAATGGCTGTATGGGTTAAACATGGTGCACTAAAAATCCCAGCAAGTACACAAGTTCTAGGGAGGAGGTAAAGGCTGTATATACATTGGATTTCGTATTTTTTTTTATTGCTTCTTGCATACTGAACTGCTTTATTATGTCAGTATAACATGCAAAAATTTGTAACATTTTATATTTGATAAAAATTTGTTGGGAAAATTTTTTGTAATTTAATATTTTGTTTTGGCATAATTTGATTTCATTTTAAACTAAATGCTATACCGTTTAAATTTTATGTCTAATTAACAAAACTAACTTTGAAATTATTTTATTATTTGTCATTATTTTTAAATAATTTATATATTCAACAATTTAAGTTGTTATTTGTTAATTACCATTTTATTTGTAATTAATTTGCTGTTAAAGCAAATCAATGAAATTCCTTTAGTTTTTTAAAATTTTTTTAATTTGAAATATTTTGTTATACACTATTATTTATAATATTTTTGACTTATTTTTAAACTGATTTTCTGAACTTTATTATTATTTTTTTAATATTAATACTTTTTTAAAAATTTTATTTAATTTTTGTATATTTTTTATTTTAATTTTATTTTTTCTTAAAATATTTTTAGTTATTTTTTATAAATTTTCTTTATAATTTTTTAAAAAAATTTAAATTCTTTTTTCTAACGGTATTTTACACCTTTTAAATTTTCATACATTTCAGCTGTATTAACATTTTTCCTTTGCATTTCCTCTACTTTCATCATTGATAAATTTAAAATTTTTTTCTTTTTATTTATCTTCCAAAAAAACAAAAAACATCACAAAAAACACTCACGTTGTATGTGTTAAAACAAAACGCGCCCGTTTTATCCGTTTTATCACATCCATACGAGCGCACTATAAACACGAAACTGAACAAGTGCCGTCTTCGATTGTAATAAATTGTGTTTCAATTTCACATTCTCAACCCCCTTAATGACAACAACAATCGTAATCTGTTAACTTACATATGCTGACTGTCTGAGCTCTCGTCAATGTATCCTTAGACTAGCTAAAGGAAATTTAACATTTAGTATCCTTAATAACAGTGGTTGTTGTGGTTTTTTAAAAGGATGTCATTGTTAACATTATGTTGCTTACATTACATTAGTGTGAGAGGAATATAGTGGCAAATGAAACAGAACAGTTTATGTTAAGTGTTAAGTTTACATTTCACCTTTTTTCGGTGTAAACTGCTAATTTAACAGCAGAAATTACAAATGTAAGCTTTAAACAGCATGAAATCGTAATCTTTTAAAAATAGTTGTAATGTCAAAGGTTTAAGAAATTTTAAGATAAACAATTCAATCAAACAAACATAAGTATTAAAGGATTACATAAATATGTACATTATTAAAGAGTAAAGAAAGTTTTCTTAAAAAAAATTTAGGAAAAATTTATTGAAAATTTGGAACATGTTTTTTTCTTTTAAAGGAAGTTTTGTTAATTTTTTTGTTAGAAAATTTTTGCTAAATTTTTAGTTTCCCAGTTGCCAAGGTCCCATTGAAAGTCAGCCCATTTTTCTCTAAATGTTCACATAAATGTCAAAGTTTTTCATGTAAAATTTTCTAGCTCTAATCGTTTCTTAGATATATGAATTTTTTATTTAATTCATATTGGAGGTTCTAATATTCTAGTCCGCCAATTTATTACCCAAATTTTCATATTGATGTCAAAAGATTTTTTTCTCTAATAGTTTTCCAGACATACGGTTTTTTTCTAATTATTTCATATGGGAGGTACCAGCCCCCCTTTTCCTTAAATAAGTGGTCCCGACAAAATTTGAGAACTTTATCTGTTATATTTTATTTTTAAGATTGTCTTCATATGAAAGTTGCCACGCCTACTATAGCCAAGCGTGGCACGTCGCCCAATTGAAATTTTGAAGTAAAAAGTAGCCTATAGTTCCTTCTAGACATACAGGAGGACACTGTGAAAATTTCAGAAAATTCGGTTCAGCAATTTAGATGTCTATAAAGTCCAAACAAACATACAAACACACATTCATTTATATATACATATATATGGGGGTGCCACGCCCCCTATTGCTAATCCTCCAACTTTTTCACCAAATAATCATATGGATGTCAAAATTGTCCATAAAAAATTTGAGGACTCTAGCCTATAGTTCCTTCCAGATATAGGGGAACATACACTAAAAATTTCAAGAAGATCGCTTCAGGAGTTTAACCTCCTATAAGGCACAAACAAACAAATAAACGAACATACATTGATTTTTATATATATAGATTTTCCATAAATTTTATTTCCATAGAAAATTGTCCATAAATTTTCTTTCTATAGAAAATTTTCCATAAATTTTCTTTTTATAGGAAATTTTCCATAAATTTTCTTTTTAAGGAAATTTTCCATAAATTTTCTTTTTATAGGAAATTTTCCATAAATTTTCTTTTTATAGAAAATTTTCCATAAATTTTCTTTTTATAGGAAATTTTCCATAAATTTTCATTTTATAGGAAATTTTCCATAAATTTTCTTTTTATAGGAAATTTTCCATAAATTTTCTTTTTATAGGAAATTTTCCATAAATTTTCTTTTTATAGAACATTTTCCATAAATTTTCTTTTTATAGAAAATTTTCCATAAATTTTCTTTGTATAGAAAATTTTCCATAAATTTTCTTTGTATAGAAAATTTTCCATAAATTTTCTTTTTATAGAAAATTTTCCATACATTTTTTTTCTATAGAAAATTTTCCATAAATTTTTTTTCTATAGAAAATTTTCCATAAATTTTCTTTCTATAGAAAATTTTCCATAAATTTTCTTTCTATAGAAAATTTTCCATAAATTTTCATTCTATAGAAAATTTTCCATAAATTTTCTTTTTATAGAAAATTTTTCATAAATTTCCTTTTTATAGAAAATTTTCCATAAATTTCCTTTTTATAGAAAATTTTCCATAAATTTCCTTTTTATAGAAAATTTTTCATAAATTTATTTGCATACAAACTTTTTGAAAAATTTTCTTTATATAGAAAATTTTCCATAAATTTTTAAATTTTCGAAAAATTTTAAATTAATTTAATTAATTTTTTGCTTAAAAAATATAAATTTACATGTTTTTAATTTTTAAAAATTCATTAAAAATATCCTGTCCTTTTTCATTCTTTTCGCAATACACATTATTTAATTAACTACTGACATAAATTGTACATGTGAATATACAGACATACTTACATATACACACACATACACACATCTGAATATTTATTTTTCAAATAACCGAAAGTAATTAAAATAAAAATATTTATTATATCCTGAAAATTGTTTTCAATAGTAATAGTCATATTAAACAATTTGCCAAATAATAACCTACAAGAACGACAAAAAGCATTAACAATTACAAACAAATAAAAAAAAAGTTGAAAATAATAATAAAATTTTTTAAAAATGTAAATTGCCAATATTACAATTATAAAATACTAAAGGAATGTTGGCAGGAATAAATGGAATGACAAACAAGTTTTAAATTGCTCATAAAAATGTTAAAGTCTATTAAAACACCCCAACAGCTCCCTGTGACCACAAATTATTTGTGGGCAAAAAAAAAAAAAAGAATTTAAAATTTAAAAGAAAACAAAGTACTATATGAAAAAGTAAATAATAAAGTTAAGGAATCTAAAGGAAGTCAGCCTGTCTATGATACTTTTGCCTTAGATAGAAATATTCACTGACATAGAATTGTTATTATTGAAACCCTCTTGATTAGGCAATAATAAATGTTGTTAACAAACAACAACAGCTACTACAACATCAACCACAATACAATAGCAAGAGTATTTTATAAAAATTGTTTCAACAAAATACAACAATTATTTGTAAACGACTACAAGTATCTATGATGTCAATTTACTACATGAAACATGTTCCTGTGTTCAACATAAAAATACAACAACAAAAAAGGACAAAATTTTTAAAAGTACTTTTATCTATCTACTGTTATTGTTTTTTCAATATATTTGTAGTAGTTGTTGTTATTTTAGTAATTGTTGTTATTGCTACAAAAGTTATCACGTTGACAATTTAACATCCCATTCATATACATACATGTGTGAGGTTGTGCAAAAAAAAAATAGAAAAACCACCCTTAATAAAAAAAAGAAATTGGAAAAAAATACACCAGAGTCAACCTAAAGGCAATTACAATATTTTGAATAAAAATTTTCAAATCAGATGAAACCAAAACTAATTCACATAAATGAAAACACAAAATCTAGATAAAAGTTTTTGTTTTTGTTATTTTTTTTTCTGGCGGTGCAAGACGACCATGACAAAATGCTACTTACCACTCATCGTATTTTATAGAAATGAAAAGATGAGACCATAAAATGAACAATACATAGTTTATGCAAACAAATTTTTCGTTTACTTTAGGTAATTTGTCAAAAAAGAAAAGCAATAGGGGAGATTTTTTATTGAAATTGATAATTTATTTATTTATTCGAATATTCTGCTCCTGGGCAACTAGTCCGAGAGTTTATTGACTAGTATATGGGCTAGACTATTGACTAATCTATGGACTAGAGTATTCACTAGTATATATGTATGTAGTATACTAGACTATTGACTAGATGTCGAAGTGACGTGAACACCTGCCGTATTGGCCGTCGTTTTCATCCACAGGTTAAGCTACTCCACCGCCTCTTTGTGTATGTTACACGCAGGTGACAATTTGTATACAAAAGTACTCGATCTATCTAATCTCTGACCATTGCTGCGCCGTTTCTTAGCTTCCGATATGCAAAAAACACCACTTACGTTTACATGCACACAGATGGGATGATCTCTGTTGAATTGGCAACAGTATCTAAAGACATATTTGGTAGACCGAAACACGAATCCATCAAATAAGCCGAGGACTTTGTTCGTACTTACAGAGAACATACTGTGGTAAATCTGATACATCTGAACAGATTTTCCCTGAATATACCTGGGCAAGGAAGGAAAATTCAATAGCATCAATTGTATAAAATACCCTTCATACATCACCATTCAACCCAGCACACTTCTCATTTATTCAACACACCCATGAAGAACAACGACGAGTAAGATCCGTATACCCCGACATTCATCCTGTAACATATACACTTAACACCAACTCATTTCCAACGCCTAGTCCCACAGCCACTCCTCCGAACTTATCCAGAATTATATAGATATTTCACCGTGCATCAGTCTTTTAATCGACACTCTCTTCCCGCCCCCACGTACACCCCAAAGGGACCTCTTCAATAACCGGGACCAGACAAAGTCCGAAACTCTGCCCTGCGGGCTACCGGTTCCCGTGGTACCAGATTATGTAGTTCCCTGGTTCGACCTCATTCCAAGGAAAGACCAGTTTATAGTTCCAGCAGACAAGAGGTCATCGGGATTGCAATCACACCAAGATGGGGTTTCTCATTAAGGTAACATGCTCCTGGAGGGAACTAGACTATTGACAAGTCTATGAACTAGACTATTGCCTAGTCTATGAACAAGACTTTTAACTAGTCTATGGACTAAGCTAGTTTATGGAC